GAGAAGGGAAAACACAGCAAGAGTGCTCCCACCCACAAATACAGCATTTCTGATTTGCATCTGATAACTGCTCTTTCAGTTTAGTCAAGACAAGATTTACTTTGCAAATGAAACCATACTATTAAGGTGAAGAAAAACACCCAGAACCTACTCTCTCTGAAGACTGCAGAGCCTGTTAATATTTATGAAGTCTGAAGTAGCTTCAAAGACTCTTTACTTCATTTTCCTTATGTCATAGCAAAAAGCAGCACTAAGTCATTAAATTTTAAGGGGAGTTCACAACCAAACTCTAACTCTTTTAGTAAATTCTGACCTCTAGGAAAAGGTGTAATTTCTTTGGTTTGGGAGTGTGTGTCCTATGGCAACAGCAACGAACACAAGGTGCAAAGAGGAAACTTGCATGCTCAGTAACTTCGAAGACCAAAACAGATAAAAACCTCAAAGCACCCAACATTACAACTGAAGCACTGTATTTGCTGTCTGTATTTCTGTGCACAGATTATTACATGGATTAACCTGCCAGGTTAAGGGCAGTGGGCAGAGAGGAAATCTAGGGTTTTGAAAATCCCTGATTAAGCACTTACTGTCGAAAGCTTTCCCTCTGATCAAACTGTGTGTCATAAAAATAACACATTAGAGAAAGCGATCTCTCCTCCTAGCATGGAGGCTGCCATGCAGATATTCTTTAGCTGCAAAACTCTGTGTAGGAAAGAAATAGAACCAGAGTTACAGGATAATGCGAGGAAATTGTGTACTTTATTTGGGCCTGACACAGGTTTGGACAAGAGAGCCTCCAATTCAAGATGACAGAATTCTCTGAACATAATACTGGGGTATTTTAGTTACAGCCAGGGCTTTCAAGACTTTGAAGTTAGAGAGCATCACTGCTAAGCCTGATAAATACTGGGGGTAAGAGAGGGAGGAAGAGACCACGACAAACCATTGAATATCTACATAACTTTAACCCCAAAAAATCAGTGAGGTATATGTTGCCCTTGACTCAAGCCTTCCTGAACAGCATTTATTACCCAGACCTATAAAAAAGAAAACATCAGGAAATGTGATCTATTACTCCTTAAATAAAAAATTATTCACTATAAAATTGTTAATGGGTCTATATGTTATACAAAACACAGACTGGTGTTCAAGAGTCCCTATACATTTGGTGGTGATACAGTCAAAAAATAAAATGTGAATTTTCAGCAGACAAAATAAGGAGAAATGGGATCTTTGTTATTCTTCCAACAGATCTGTCATCACTTTGGGGGTTAAACAGCTAATGCCTCTTTCTAGTTCAGAAGTATCTGTATTAAGGATTGAATACTCAAGCACCAAAATGATGCTGAAGACATACCACATATATGTAGTACTACATGTATGTACTTCATTTGTATCCACAGACAATGTTTCATACCCAGTACCTATACCTGACCTTTAACAGCAGCACTAATCACTTCTCAGACACTGAAAGGGTTCCCTTGCCAAAACAAAGTCTTCCAGCTGGGGTTTTTCCCCCCAGGTCTCAAACAACACTGAATCTCTCTGGCACATAACACTGCTCCAGCCATTCATTTGTATAATGAACTTCTATTCCTATAACCTTTCAGTATCACTCACAGAAAGAGAAGGGGTAGAGGCAGGGAAAAGTTTCTGCTGTAAATCACTGGGAACTAGATTCAAGCTGGAAAGACAGCAGGGCTGCGATCAGCCCCATGATTTTGCCTCCTCATTTGGGATCTCCCTCTATCAGTCTCTTTGAAACCGGGTCCCATGAAAGAGCAGAGCCAGGACAGGCTTTTCCCAGCAGCTGCCTTAATTCCTCACCACCCGCCCAGGTACTGATGTCAGGTCACCAGGACACAGCAATGCTGGCAAGGCATCAGCAGGAGGTGAAAGCCTGGGTGATGCCTCCACCCAGAGCTGAAGCTGTACCATGCCAAGGAGTGGCACATACACATCCAAACAGCAGCAGCCAACCCCAGGCTGCTTGAGAGCCACCCCCTGGCCAAGGACATGCTGAGCACATCACACCTCAATCATGAGAAAAAAAAAACAAAACCAAACCTATCTGTCTGATACTTGAACTCAGGTTAGTCCCACCTACCACCATCCGAAACCAGCTCCGAGAGCTTACCTGCAGAGCAGGATGCACGGCATGGCTCATTTCAGTTCACTCTGGCATCTCAGCCCAAAACCACCTTTATTAGGGCAGCGGGATGAGCCAAACATTCTTGTGGCAACCATATGAAAAATAGTGAACCATAACTCAGGCTTTCATGGAATTTTGCAAAATTCAGTGCCATAACAACATCGTTTTTGTATTTTATCAGTTTCAGAGCTAGCAGCTTAACGTCAGCTTCTGAAGAACACAGACCAGGACTAAAAAAAGCCTTCCCTTTCTGAACAACTAGATGTGGTATTTGATAACTAAACATGGCATTAAAAAAAGTAGTTAAGCTCACACTTCTAATTCTGTGGAATGAAATTATCTATCACATGTTAAAAGTAAAGGCAGAATACTGCCAGATAATGCAAAGCACAGGGACCTGAGAGCCCTACTTTATTAAATATTTCCTCTCCCAACTCACATCTCAACCACCACTGGAAACACGATACCGAAAACTTGTCCATCATTCATTCCATAATCACACAAGCTTAACAGTACCACATCTACTAATCTAAAATTCCTGAGCTGCAGCAACAAGGCAAGACACAAAAACATGACAAAAAGCCGTCATTTCCATTTGCCCCATTTGTGCACACGATGACCACAGGAGCACACAGAAGACCACAAAATCTACGCATACCTATTGACCTGTCTGCAGGAGTCCAGGCTGACATCCTGAATTGCAAAACAGCCATTTACCATGCCATCCTCTCTGTCTCCTCCCGAGTAAGCTCTCCAGCAGCATTCCTCTGCTTCTACTGCTCCACACCAAGAAGCATCCAGACACTGCATGCTCTGAGCAATCAGCACATTGCTGGCTGCTATTTAACACGAACGTGTGCCCAGCCCTGAACTCGGCTAGGCACAGCCACCGCTCAGGAATCAAAGCTCACAGCAGAACCTGCATTCCCAGCTCTCATTGCTAAATCGGATGCCACCCAGCTGCCACCCCGGCCGGGGGCGGGAGGAGGCAAAGCAGGGTGTGACGCAGCTCCCGCTGCTGCTCCTCGCCAAGGGAGATCCCTGCACGCAGCCGGGGAACACCGCGAGCCCAGCCAAGGGCCGGGAGCGGCTCTGCCAGCCACCGCCGCCGGCAGCCGCCACACGGCCCCGGGACAGCAGCTGGGGAGCCCGGGGAGCTCGGGCTGCGTGTGCACACAAGGATGTGACCTTTACCGGGCTCACCGCCGCCCCATGCGCTGTGTTTACTACAGCCGCTGCCTTCTGACTGGTGGCGGCGATGCCACCGCCTGTCCCCGCAGCCCAGGGCGGCTCCTCCGTGCCGGAGGGGCGCAGGCAGGGGACGAGGACCCCTGCTCTGCCCGGGAAGCGGGGAGGGAGCAGCCGGACACCCCCTGCGCGCACGGGGACAGCCGTGCCGCAACCGCCCGGGCAGCCGGGCCACCGGCCGAGACCTCCGTTGGCTGCCCCGCAACCTCCCGGGCCGCCCCTTCCCCCCGGCCCCGGGAGAGCCGAACAAAAGGGAACGGAGAGACCAAGGGACAGCAACCCAAGGGTTCCCGTCCGGGGGGTGGCGAGAGACACCGCGCCCCGCTGTCCCAGGGAGGTGGCGCCGGGCTATAGGTAAAGGTATGGACACCCAAAAATAAAAATTATTATTATTATTATTATTATTATTATTATTATTATTATTATTATTATTATTATTATTATTATTATTATTATGCCTCCGAGACAGCGAGGCACTCACCCTGCTCGGAAATCGGAGCAAACTCTCATTCACGCTCCCCGCCGTGCCCAGGCCGCCGGAGCCAGGCGACGCCCCGAGAGCCGCCGCTCTGTTGAGCGGGGCCGGGCGCGGCCGGGGCCGGGCGCGCCCGCTCAGCCCGGACAAAGCGAGCGCGGCGCTGCTGCGGGCGAGGCGGCAGCAGGTGCCCGTCCGCCGCCGCGGCCGTGCCGAGCGCCCCGCGCAGCCGCCGCCGCAGCGCCCGAGCCGCTCGCCGGGGCCGCGCTGCGCGCCCGCCCCGCCCCCGGCGGCCCCGCGGCGGGAGCCCGCAGAGGCGGGGGCGGGCGGAGCCGGCGGGCGGGCTATGGGCGGTGCGGCACGGCCCGGGCCGCAGCGGCGGCGCACAGCGAGGCGCCCCGCCGGTCGCAGCCCGGTCGGGACCGGAGGCGGGTCCCGGTCCCGCGGCCCACCCGGCGCGGCGGCCGCCGGATCTGCGCGGAGCGGCAGCGAGCAGCCCCCCGGCCCCACCGCCCGCACCTGCCCCGCGCCACGCCGGCGCCTGGAGCTCGCCTGCGGAGGAGTCCAGACGCCCAGCAGGCAAGACCCTCCCCTGCGCTGGCTGCCTGCGGTGCGGCAGCGGTGGGCACCGCACGCCGCAGTGTCCGCAGCGGGGCTGCGCTGCCCGGTCGTGAGGGCTGCAGCACCGCCGTGCCGCGATGCGGTGTGCGGCCAGCGCTGCCCTGCCCTGCCTTGTGCTCGACCCTGAGCCCCGCAGAGTCGGGGCTTTGTCGTTCCCCGGGCTTGGCGAATGCACTGGCACGGTGTCAGCCTTGCCAGTGCTTTGCTGCCATGGTGGGAGTCGTATCGCCGGAGCTCAGTGCGCTCCGGTTAACTGGGGCTGAAGGCGAAGCCCGGGCCGGGCACGGCCGTGGCGGGGCTGGGGCCGCAGCCGGCACTGACTGACTGCAGTGGGGCAGCGGTGCCCACGGGCCGGGCTGGCCCTCGGCAGCCTCGCCGCACACATACCAGGGAGCCTGGGCCCCCGGGGAAGGAAGGGATTATCCTGTGTACAGACCCCCACTGTGTCCACACTCTGGAGGTTGTTAATTATTTAGTGAGCGTATAGAGCTGTAAACCACTGCTCATGCACTGTTTGTTGTGTTTTGTGTTGCTTGTGGTTAACCCTGATCTTTTTTCCGTAGCTTAAAAAATGCAGGGAGTATACGCCATAGGAAACCCTTTTTTTCTCATTCCTCTCACCTCCAGTCTCACGGGTTTGGTGACGCAGGGGCTGCCCAACCGAGTGGCTCCTGTGCAGCATAAGCAATATTATATTATACAATTTTGTAATGATTTGTCTACCTCAGCATGCACCTCTAGCGCAGTGGAGATGAGCCGGGGTTTGCTGCGCGGCGTCCTCCAGCGAGCCCCTGGAGAGGGTGGCCCTGTCTCCAGTGCTGGTGTCCGGCAGATTTGTCCCTTTGCAGGGTGGTGATCGATGGCACGTTCTGTGCTCACCAGCATCCTTGTATTTCACGTCATCTCGTGCCCTTTGCATGCAGGCTGTGTAACTCTTTCATTTTTTGATATCAAGAATTTATGAATCAAAAGGTGGGGGAGTGTGGAGGCTGAGTCAGATCGTGAAAAAGGAAAGCCAAATGAGAGCGTGCAATTGCATATCACATTTACAAACATGGTTTCATTCATCTCCATATGTTGCTCCTGTTACTACTAATAAAGCTCTGGTTTCTCAGACTGGAGCTACCCTGGGAACACTGATCTTCCTGGTGTTTTTTCTCTATAGCCTCCATAGTATTTGTGTTACAGTATGTTATTTTCCTGATTATGTTTTCATTATATTGAACAGGTTAATATCAGAAAAAATTTGATAATATGAATGTACTTCCCACACACTCCCTCTTGTTCCTATTATTTGATGTTCTGGGGAGTGACAGTTTATTTACAGGCAGCAATTTCTTTCCCTCTCTACTGAGTAAATTAACTAATTATAATAACAAAAAAAAAAAAAAGCTTTTTTCTTGAGTGCTTACCCCTGTTTCCTTCCTCTTTCTTTCCTCATTTTGCTAATGATAGCCAAATCCAGCATGGTGATTTTGGACCTGCAGGAAATTTACCTTTATCTACTCAAAGATTTCTACAGAAGCCTCTATGGGCAAAGGGAGCCAGAGACAAAGGTCTACTTTAAGCAGAATGGTGTCTGGGGTTTACTTCCCCAGCAGGGAGGTACAACTGTAGAGTGTTCAGTAATTAATTTAATCCAGCGTTGAGAGAGAAGAATTATTGTATTGGGAAAGAGGTTTTTGTCAAGTATCAGATGTAAGATTTAAGCAGCAATTTCAATGACCTTTGTGATTTCTGTTTCAGACAAAAGGCAGCAACCTAGGACAAGGGTATCATTACCTTCTCCCAGCATTGTCCTTTGTTCTCCTTGGGTTTAGCCTGTCACTTCCTAGGGTTTGCCTCTGTCCCTTGTTGGGACAGCGGCACCTCTCACCCGTGACTCTCAGAAGTGCTGTGCTAGCAGGTGATTTATTTTCCCCCACTGCTCATTTCCCATCTCTGCTGTGCAAGGTCTTTTTTTCTTCTTGTGGCCCTTCTTATGAGTTTCTCTTTCCTGTGTCTTATTTATACTTAAGTATTTCTGCCTTACCAAACATTGTGGTCATTACTTTATCTTCCTCCTCTGTTTTTTTTTTCCACTCATTTCTTTTCTCTCATTTTTGTTCCCTTTCATATATCTTCCTCTTACATCTCTTTTTTTCCCCTCTGTGTCATTCTTTTTAAAGCCTCTCCTTCTCTCTCTCCTTTCTGACATCTCACTTCTCTCCACTGCCTAACTCTACCTTCCTCTTGACTTTTCTTCTCCAAGCTATTGCTTTGGTCACTGTCCTTTTCCTCCCTTATATTTACATAAATTTTACTTTAATATTATGTATATATATGTATATATATATATTTCCACTCCACATCTTTCACTCTCCAGCTGAAAACAAGGAATTACTCATGCTGATAGTCTGATTCTATTTCATCTCTTTCTTAGCACCTGAAATACACTGCTCCTGCCCATCCTCAAACATATGTATTGGGTAGACTGAAGAACTATGTGGAAAATGTTCCTAAATTCAGATGTGTACTTGAGAAAGCATCTTGCTCAGGCTGCACTGTGAACAAAGCAGATGTTGTGCTCCCACTGACATTATTAGAGGAGGACTTTAGGCCCCTTGAAGAAAGAACCTCAAGAACCTAATGACATTCTTTTTATGCTTCTCAATTTCAGGGGGGGTTTGGTAAATAAAAAGACTTACATTTTAAGTGAGGGACTCTGTCATATCTTTGAGATATCCCTTGGATGCTGGACTGACCCAAAATAAGACCTCCCAAAACGTTTTTCTTTCTTCCCCCCCAGTTGTTTTGTTTTATGCATTTGTTAAGCCAACATTGTGCAGCTGTTGGAAGAAATAGCTGCACAAAAGTGGCTTAAAAAATGCAAAATTGGAGAAATGCTTTCTCCTCAGCAGAGCTAAGCTCTTCCTTTGGAAAGGGCTCTGTGTGGGGTGAGACTGGGATTTCAGCTTGTCAGCTTCCCTTTTTTCTGGAGCCAGAGGGAGAGGAGAGAGCTGTGACTGCAGGATCATATGCATTGGGTGGGAGATGGAAGAATAGATGCATAACCCAAAAATGCTACATTAACCTCAGAGGGCAGGGAGAAAAGTTGTTTAATAATTTTTTCCCTTGGCTGTCACTGACTACAAACATCATCACTGAGGATTAAGGGCAATTGTTAGATTTTGCTATTTAGATAAGAGTCTTAGTTTTTAAAAATATAATTTATTCTTTAAACTACTTTTTTCTGTGTTGTTCAAAGAGCTTACTACTAACTGGCTGGAATGAAAACAGCTCCATCCCACGGATTCCACCTCCACTTTCTGGCAGCTTACCTGACTCATAAAGAGAGTGGGGGGTTTTATGTGCCACCTACAGCAGCTCAACATTTTCCTTTGTGGTGAGACTTAATCACCATCCTTGTCATATTATTTCATCGACCTTCTTGGAGTAGGAATCCTTTACCTTTCAAACCAGCCTTAAAACTTCCTATAAAAATAGGGCAATGGTTTTTTCCTGAATTTGGTGAAAGTGCCTAGGTGGTCCAATGTAGCAAGGTTTTCTGTGTTATTTTTTAAAAGATAACTTTTACCTGAGGACTGTGGAAGAGAGAGTTTCCATTTGCAGAGGACATATCTGTGACACAAGATGTGTCACCTGGAGAGTTGAAATCCATCAGCTGAAGGTAGAGGACCATCCCCCAGGTAATCACTGCAGGTAGTGTGTGCTGAGGGGCAAACTGGGGGCTTTTAGCCACCATGGTCAAGGATGAGAGTGGGCAAAATTTGTCAGAGACAGTGCCTATATTAGAGTCAGGAAAGACAGACATGCCTTTGGGCACATCAGATCTCTCATTATAACCTGTTTGTGTAACCTCTGTGGCTGTCTCTTGTAGGGAGAGAGATCATGTGAAGTAGACTGATATTTGTCAAGCAGAAAATACTGCTGAGAGAAGACTGCAAAGTTGAAATGAAAACAATAAATAAATATATAAATAAATAAAACCAATAAATAAACACAAAGGTGGCAATGCAATAGGTAATGTGTACAGGAGGCAATGGAAGAAGGGGTAGGAGAACAGAACCACCCCATGTGGTTGGGAGTTACAAAGAGGACATGAGTTATGCTAGAAAGCTGGGGCAGAAAGCATTTGACATTTTTTCTGCAGAAATTCTTGGAAGGGCAGAAAGGAAGGTATTCTGGAGCTCAGCACTTAAAGATAGAACCAAGTGTGAAGAGAGGCCAGGGAAGGCATTTGGTAAGAGTCTCCTCATTTCTCTGTCACAAAGGCAGGTAGAAACAAGGAACAGCAAGGAAAGGGGAACATTGAAAGGACTGAAGTGAACCATTGGTAAATATCGAAGAAGGAAGTGTAGGGAAGGGAAGCTGCTTGCAGGTTAACAGAAAGGCAGAATTCCTCTTTGGTCCTCTGGAGGACCTGGAAATTGACTGCGTGACAAGTGGGGTTCTACAAGATGGGAGACAGAGAACATTCTGTCAGGAAGGAGCTGTCTGACCACACCTAATATAAATACAGGCTGTTTTCATTCTTTATGTGTTTGTCTTAAAATGCACTGCAGGTGCAGCAGCTCTGCCCTGAAGATATGGAGGCTGCAGCTGTCCTGACCTCCCAGTACCACCATCCTCCTTCTAGCATGCCAGAATTAACCCCATATTATCTCCTCTTCTGCACTGGGAGTCCTCAGCCCAGCCCCAGTCATCCTCCTTACCAAGTGCAGCTGCTTGATAACTGGGACACAACTCAAGAAAAGGACTTGGCAGTCACCTGCAAAGATGTGCTTCTGGAAGCAGAGGCACTAATGAGCTCTGTGGAGGGAGTGTGCTGGGGAGGCACCAGCAGGGAGGGAGGAGAGCAAAGGGTGAGCACTTCATCTGAGGGAGAAACAGCTTGGGAGGCTGTTGGACTAAAGCAGTGGGGAAACTAAGGGCATGGAAAGCGCAGGAGGAAAGTGCATGTGGGAGGATGGAGCCAAGGATGGTTAAAAATAACAGTCTTGTACAGCTAGTATGGCACTCCACTGGCATTTTAAACCTGCTGCCTTTCTGAGTTTTGAAAAGTGAGCTTTACATTTAATTGTTCTAATTGCTACTGACCATCCAGGACCACTGCCATTTTGTCCAGCAGCCCCCATTTTCTTCACTGCTGGTCCAGTGGTTGCAACCAGGTCTTCAGCATATTGCTCTTTGCATCCTTGCCTGATGTAAATATTGGTGTATCTCCAGTTATACCTTGATTTCTCTGGAAGGGAGATGGTGTTTTTTAGCTTAATGTAAGCACAGTGACTAGCACACTAAATTCATGCAATAATGATCTATCACAAATTACAGGTAAATCAAAGCACTATTCACAAGCAATTTGTACAGTGTGGAATTTGGGCATGGGCTAACTTGACAGCCATTTCTTTTAAAGTTTATGGAGAGCTGCCAGTTTTTCAGCCCTGTGGCTGTTCAAAGTACTGTGGTAGTCTCTGTATGAATACCACATGTGAGACAGGACCAAGTGGCACAGACCTGCTGGGGCTTTGAACCTCCTGGCACTTGGAATGGATGTGAGAAAAAGAAGGAAGGAACAATAAATAAAAGAATAAAGGAAAGAGAAGTACAAAGTGAAGGACATCTGTGCATTCTGATAACAATTCTTCAGTAGCACAGCACCATAAAAAAATGTTGCCTGGTTAATGTAGAGCAGTTACTTGTTATGCTGGAGCCATTTCCTAGAATTTTTATAATATCAAGTTTTGTCTTTGAAATATGGAAGGAATGGATTTCTTTGTCTTTCTCTGCTCTTCCCTTGCCTTTATCCTCCCAGTTCCAAGTAAGGATGTAAGTGAGGTTCCCTTTCATCTCCAGTGTCAATTTATTCATGAACATTATAAAACTGTTTGTCAGTTCTTGTTTCAGAGTTTACTTTTACCTTCAATAACTCTAGTGTCTTTAGTGCTTGCCCCCATCTGTTTCTGGAGGAAAGCCAGCTTGTCTCTTCAGGGGAGCTTTGCCAGACCTGGCTATCCCAGCCCTGCTTCTCTCCTTCCATCTAACAGACTCTCCATTTTCCTGTTTCCTACAGAAGATGACCTCTAATGCTCAGAGGACTCTCTGCCTGTGGTAATGTGATATGGTGGCAGCAGCAGAAAAAAGTGTCAGTAGTCTTGGATCGTGTTCCCAATCCAGTTATTGAATGATCTGTGGAAGGACATTTATCTTTGTTTCCCTGCAGGCTCCAGTAATAGTCACACATCTCTGTTTTACAGTAAAATTGCTTTTACCATGCCAAATTAATTATTAATACGGACATTACAGTATTTTCAGTGTCCTGTAGAAATGAAATCAGATGCCGTGTCACTTGCTGTCCTTTAGCTTGTGACATGGCTTGCAGTCCTTTCGGATATACCTGTCTGGTACCTGCTGTGTTTACAGTCTGTGTTCCCTGGCTTTACCACCATTATAAAACAGCTTTCACATATCCCTGACTTTTTTGATTGCATGCTTTCTGCTATTTTTTTCTGAAACCATTTTCAGGACTTGCTGAAATGTGAGTAATGTAGCTGGGAAGGGCTGATTGAAGTGAGAGACTCATTTAGAAGGAATTTGGTCATGATTGATTACAGCTGCACACATCATGCCCTTGCCTGACATTTCTCCCCATGTAGGGGAGACTTGGTGGTGGTGAGGTCCAGGTCTGTTGAGCATACATGCCTTAGACCTATATAGATACCTTGAAGGTTGTTAAAAGGTTTTGCTGGGTTTATTTTATCCATGACATTGAGAATATGTGGTAAGTACACAGGTAGATCACTACATGGTGATGTTCCTATCACATCACTCATAAAAACCCTTCATGACCTTGATCTTGTCTTCAGCCTAATATGGGCACAAAGCTTTCCACTTCAGCGTGGGTTTATGTCCAAATTATTGTTCTCAGTCAGTGTGGTTTGGCCAAAGTACACATCTTGGGGTACAATCCCAGCTTTTGTTTCTTTTTGCTACCCCAGTTATCCATGGTGCTGGAACAGGGTTACAGGAGCCTGCCAAAGCCTGCGTGAGGGGTGTGTGGGAGGAGGAGGTGCTGCATGTGTCTGCATTGGTTCCCACAACTCCTACCTTAACTCAGAGCAGCTCTCATTGCTTGGTGAAGCTTCTTTTCCCTCTGCCACCCACTCTCTCCCTACAGCCTGCAGGTGTTGGGCTGTAGCTTCTCTCCTATTTTTGGCTGAATGGCTGAATTAGCACATTTTTAATGGATGCCTATTTCAGCACTTATGAAAATAGTCTACAATTTTGATAATTCTCCGTTACTCCATAAAATGCATAAAAATGGTTTGCTTAAATGTGATAGCAGTTCTTTAGGCTTATTGTCATTACTAGTTTAGAGACCATGGTTCCACTGAAGAAGGAGTTATTTAGATATAGCGGCCTTAGTGAGGTTTTGCTCTCCTCCTTTTCCAGAGAAATTGAAATTATATTGATAAAGAGCAAGCGATTTTTATTTTTGATACAGCACAGAGAAATTTGTTTCAAGTCTGCAGTTTTTATTTTCAATAGCATAGAGTGTCATGGAATAAGTAAAGCACCTTTCTTCCATTGGTATTACAGACCCCAGTCATCTCTGATTTTGGTTCTCACACCCATCTCCACTAGTTTGTACTTTGCAAACCACCAAAAAGATAAAGTAGAGCTTGTGATGCTTGTGAGCAGTGGAGCTGCTGTGATGCCTTGCTCCTTCTGCCCAGCAGGATTGTCCCAGGTCAGTTGGGACAATCAGCTGTCCTGACGTGGTGAGCAGGCTCTGACCTCACCCTGCCTCCAGGGCAGTTTTGCTGAGTTTGTCTGAGGATGGGAGCGAAACCCTGCAGTTGGACACGGGGCTGCTGCTGACAGGCTGGCGCCCAGGGGTCCAGTTGGGTTCAAGTGGGCTATGAAGGGAAAAGAAGGCTGTGGCTTGAGGAGAGGATTCATGGCAGAAGCAGAAAATCCTGATGATCCTAAAACTTGGGGAGGAAGCTCATGATGCATTTTATGTCTGAGGTTTTGCTATTGATAAAACACCAGGAAGGAAGTGAGCCTGCTTGTGTTCTCTGTTGGGCTTCCTGAGGATGGTTGTGATAACACAGAATCACTGAATGGTCCAAGTGTGAAGGGACTCACAAGGATCATCAAATCTAACTCCTACAGGTTTCTCTGAAACCCTGACCCTCTGTGGGAAAGCTGACTGGAGTGTAATTGTAGCAGGTGCTGTACCAACTGGGTGTACCCCACACACATTTAACAGGTATGGGTCCATAGAAAACATCGTTTTTCTTTTTGTATTTATTGGATACTTGCTCAAGCATGTGGATCAGGGCTATCCCAAAGCAAGTACACAATAAGTACTCTTACAAAGAGCAGATAATAAAGCTTTTTAAAGTACTCCTTTATTAACAGTAACAAAACCTTGATAAAATATGAGGTCTGATTTTTGTGAAGTAATGAGCCTTTTGAATTCCAGTGGAAATCAATGTCGCCTGTTGGTGCTAAACATCTCTAAACATTATACATGTGCTTTCAAACCTGTGTTAAATCCCCGTTGACTTCAGATTCTCTTTAAATCAGCATAAGGACTGCTGTATTTAGTCTCCCGGACAGTCATTCTTCTTGCAACATTGTCTCTCTATTGCTCTAGTTGACTCCTGGGTAAGATTTTATTTTCTTTAAAATTTCAATGTATCTTCTCTGCAGAGAGCTCTGATGTAGGGCTCTGCTCCTTACTTTGTAGGTAATGATACAAAATCTCTGACTGATACCCCTGCAGCCCTGAGAATTACTTGCAACTTGGGCAGAAGTAGCGCAAGAAATTACAGCTGTTACTGGTGATTAAAAATGTGCTTTCTAAAAATCTTAAATTGAAATTATAGAAAAGAACAGAAAAGATTCCTGTAGTATTCTGTATAGAACTCCCAAGCAATGGGTTAGCACAAGCAAGATAAGAATCAGTCAAAGAGCTCAGACACAGTGCTCTGCTCTGCTTGTATTTGTTCTAAAGAAATCTGAAAATCTATGTGAGCATCATGGGTCTGTGTCTGGGACTGAGTTTGTAGCATTGTCCTTCTTTGTCAGTGAGTAGAGGTCATCTTCAATTTTAACCAATAGTCACAGCCCTCTGTTCACTAGGAAACTGCATGTGTATATCCAATTTTGAAAGGTAGCCATTAAATGAAAACCTCACAGGAACAGAGATACAAAGTGCAGCAGAGCATGTGGAACTGAGGATGGGGCCTTAGTGCTGTTACTGGATTACCTGGGAGGAAACCTGGGATGTCAAAAATGTTTTCTGTACCCCTCCACCACTGGAGGAAATCAGGCATTTCAGATTAGTTTACCTTATTCTAGGAAATTCTCCTCCTCCTTACTTCAAAGCAAATATTACCTCATCATCACATGCTAGACAACATACCAAGGGAAAAATTCTCTTCAGACCAAAATACAACTATCAGTTTTTGCACGAGGCAACATCACCAATGTCTCACAATGACTCATCATGCATCTGCTTTATACCTGAGGCAGAGCTTGCTACCAGATAATCACAAATATTGTTTGTTTTCCCAACTATGACTATATAATGACACCTGACAGATGAACAAGTTCTTGTATAATAGTAGATGGCCATGCATAACAAAAAGGAAGAGGATTTGCAGTTTGCAGAAATTCTCTTTTCCAATAACAGTCATTTGCTGACACATTGTAATTTGTAAGCTATATTTACCAGATCTCAGAAGCATTTCAGAGCCGGTGAATCCATTAGAAAGCCTTTTCCTTTTGGTGGAAACATTCCGTAATTTTTTACCCTTTGTGCTTCAAAGAAAATTAAACAAAAAGCAGCAGCAAATTTCATTTGGTATTTCTTGGCATGCAGGAATAAAGCCAGGTATTCTTTCTTTTATAGAGTAGGAGAAAATGAGGAAAGGGGTAATAATTGGACATAATGGACAAAACATTCTTATTTAAGGGGCAGAATTATCAGCAGGTATCTGTTGGTTCTAGGAAGGATTAAAGTAGAACATCAGAAGATTAACAAATACCAGAATTTCAGATGTCCAAATGATGAGAGCTTGAGTTTTTTCCTACAAATATTTAATTTGTCACCAAAACCTCCTAAGAACAAAATGCTGATTCTGGAAATGTAACTTTATGGTTGAATAGGAAATTACAAAAAGGGCATGAGGATATACAGTGAATGCCCCAGAGCTCATCATAGCAAGGACAGCTTTCAAAAAGAAAAAAAAAAATTTAAAAATCCAAGTGCTGTTTCCAGCCCTTCATGAGGAGAGGTCCAAAAGGGCAGCTCACAGCCCACCCACGGTTACCCATGCACACTGCTGGCAGCAGCTTGGCACTGCTCCTACAGACTCAGCAGCAAGGCCAAAAATGAACAAAAATCTTCCCTGCTTGTCTCTCTCCATTGATATATCAAGCCTGGGGATAGGAGACAGCATCAGATTCCACGTGGGATTTCTCAGCAGGGCTCCTCTCCCATTTCAGATCTGAGAGACTGTGGTGATTTGTATCTTTGAATATGTTTTTCCGTTCACTTTCCCTTTAATGATGCTGAAGAAAGGAGTGTCAGCACAAAGGAAGATGTATCTGTCACTGGCACTGCTCTGGTTTCTGGCAACACTCAGGCTGCTGCTTGGAACTGGCTGGAAAAATTACTTTGCTTGGTTTTGTTGTTGGTTTTCTGAGGAAGGAAAAAACTGCCAGCACTGATAACTGATTTAACTCAGAGCATACAAAGCCATAAAGAAAAAAATGTTCCCAGAGATTTTTCTCAAAGACCTGAAACTTTCCAAATGTGCTGCTTGAAAATGCCTCCTCATGCATGGCCATGGCCTGCATCCCAGGGACCTCAGTGGCCTGGACCTGGAGGTGAGCACCATCTCTTCCTAGGAGTCCATGTGGGAATCTCAGGCTGCAGTATCCCATGAGAGATGTCAATCAAGGGAACACAGCTCATAAAGTGTTCATAAAGTTCTACCCAGTTTCAGTTTCCAAATGTCACAGAATGGATGAGGTTGGAGGTGCCTCTGGCAAACATCTAGTCCCGTCCATGCTCAGAGCAGGGGCAGCCCCTGTGGGTTTCCCAGAGCTGTGTCCAGTTTAATTTTGAGTATCTCCAAAGATGAAGATCCTACAACCTCTCTGAGCAACCTGCACCCAATGCTTGGTCTGCCTCAGAGTAGAGAAGTCAGTCATGCTGACAACACTTCCAAAATAAAAACCAATAACTATTAACCTCTCCAGGTTCTCTCTCCAACTCTCTCCCTCTTTTATTTTTTTCTCTTAAGGAAACAAAGATATGCAACTATTTTATATAAAGAAACCGTTCTTTTGAAGGTCACTTTTTGTTTTCCTCAACAAACTCTCCACAAAGACACTTTAGGAATAATCCCACTAGTTCTGTACTTATACCAGAGCAGCACCTGCTGTGGGTTGCACTGCACTGTTGACAGAAGGATTGGTGATACTGTTGACCATTTTTAACATTATTTATTTAGCACCTGGCTAATGCACTCAGGCTCTGCCTGCTAGGCACTGCCCAAATAAACCACAAAGAACACAACCTGTTTTCAAAGAAGGTGATATTTACCTGTTAAACAGTCAGCTGCAAAGAAATGGGTGGAGGGAAGCACAAGCTTTTGTGCTGATCTCTGAACTTCAGCATCGTTGCTTCCCCCATTGCAGCTATGCATGGGAGGGGAGTGAGATCTGGGCTGTGCTACCCGAGGGTGTTGGCTGATCTAATGGATGGAGATGTCCTGTGAAATCACACTGGTGTCTGTTGGGCACTCTATTCATTCTTTTAAAGCTGCAGTAGAAGTGCACTTAAGAATTAATACTTATTTTAGAAGGACATACTTTTCAAAATGCTTAAGAAATATCCATTTGCATTTTTCAGTTGTGGTGTTTTTCAGTCAGGAAATGAGCTCAAAAGAAAAAGAAGCAAGTGCACAGTTATTTCTTCCTGTAGAAAAATAATTTTCCATTGAAAAGGCATATTTTCAAGTCTACAAACAGGGGATTTCTTTTCCCAAGACTGTTTCCCAAATAGATAAGGAAAGGAAGAAAACTTGTGATTTCACCAGAGGAAGAAAATATTGTGTTTAAGTGGGCAGGTGTCAGTTTTGAAAGGTGTCCAGAACTTTTGGGGCAGTCCAGCACTTGCCATTCCAAATGCCACCACTGGGAAGAATGCCAGAAAAAATTAAGAAAGGCGATGAGGTGGCAGAGTCAGAAACTTGTCACATGAAAATCACATCTTTGGAGAAGGAACTGCTCTTCTGGAGCAGAAACCCAGCTCTAAGGACACTGGTGCTGACTTTGGCTTCCAGACAGGAGGGTGCTTTGGAGATCTGTGGTGGAGATCTCTCTCCTCAGCATCCCAAGCAATGCCAGCCTGCTCTTGCAGCTGGGCACAGCCCTGCCTGGGAATAGCTCAGCTGGGCACAGCCCTGCCTGCAGTGCCCAGTGCTGGCCCTGGACAGGGGCTGCCAGAGCAGAGCCCAGCCCTGGTGCTCGCTGCAGGTGGGAGGCAGCCCCACACAGGCTGGTTTGGAGCCATGGAGGGGATTTGGAAGCAGGAGCTGGTGCCCACTGAGGTGTGGGTGGCACATCAATCCAGCCTCAGGATCAGAGGTGTCTCCTCCCACGGGGAGCAGCTGGGAACTTGGTCTGGGCTTGTTTGCAGCAGTGCTGCTGCATCTGGCTGTGATGCAGATGGAGAAATCAGACATCCACTCACTCTCTCCCAAGGAGGAGAGGCAGGGCTGAGCATGCAGCCATTGCCTTGGCACAGGCACTGTTTAGGTCCTTCTCTGATACTCAGAGTGTGCAGACCATATGTTACATCCCAGCTTTCTCTCTTCTGTTTACTTCTATCCATTTCCCATGTGCCAGCAGCCCTGAAGCTCTTTTTTCTCTACCAGTCTCTCTTGGCCAGCAGACTATAATTCCTAGGCCATCTTCAAAGGAGATGCAGAGCAATAAAACCCAAGCCCTGGGGTGATGCTGTAAGCTCATCCTCCAGCAAAACCTGGAGGAGCCTTGTCTTTCAAGGGAGCATTTGAAGTGTTCTCTGAAACACAAAACCATTTACCAGGTTGCAACACAGTTATTCCCCTTGGCCCATGAAGTAAAGCACATGTAAATTTGTAGTGTAGGGGCGGCACACAGTTTTTTCATGGGTTTACACACTGGGTTTTTGTTACTGCACTTTGGATGAGAGCAGTCAGCTGCGGGTCATGGCTCTGCACATTGTGACCTAATGAAGAAAAACTCAGAGGGAGGATCAGACATCTTTGGTGTAACTGTCCAGCAAAGGCTTGCTCTCTTGAAAGCAAAAAGTGTCAAATAACAGGAAATAATTTCTTCCATCAACATGTACCCTGAAAGCACTTTGCTTTTTGACTCCTATCCACATTTCTGTTTCTCGGCTGGGTGATTCCTGCCACCTCCTCTAGGCTTTTTTACTCTCTGGTATTTTTGATAGCAAATGTGAATACTGATATATTCCTGTAGCTCTGCCAGCTAGCTTAAAACTGTATTATTTTTTATATTTCACTGGAAAACATGGTGTCAGACAATAGCCACGGAAATGCAAGCACCCTCAAAGTAAACTTCTATCTTCATGCAAATAAAAAGGGTTTATTGGAGATTGTAAACCACATAAAATAATTTTGACCAGTCTCATGTGCCTGCAGTGATACCTTGCAACAGTCTTGGGCCCATTCCAGCAGGATTTGATTTAATCCATGCTGCAGTTAGTGTTTTCTTTGGAACTGCAGTGTTCTCAGAAAGATGTTCAGGCTCCATCTCATATTTACTGAGCAGATGCCAATTAGGCTTGTGTTCAGAGTTGACAAGGCCAGCGTTGTAGGTGTTTAAACAGAGAGCAACAAAAAGCCATACACAAACCAGAGAAATTCTTGCTGGCAGTTCAGAAATGCTCTTGCAGGGTCATGGGGTGTTTGTCTCAGATTCTGAGCTGTTACTTGCCTCCAAATCATCCTACTCCTCTCATCTTGCAGTACAATTATTCTGTAGAAGGTCAAAAAATAATTAGAATCTTTTTATTTTCTCTCCAAGCATCTCCAAGACACTGCAAAAGAGCTCTCAGGATGCCAGAGCCAGCAAAGTCAACCTCAGCCCCCAAAAAGGGCTCCAAGAAGGCCGTGACAAAGACGCAGAAGAAGGGCGACAAGAAGCGCCACAAAAGCAGGAAGGAGAGCTACTCCATCTACGTGTACAAGGTGCTGAAGCAGGTGCACCCTGACACGGGCATCTCCTCCAAGGCCATGGGCATCATGAACTCCTTTGTCAACGACATCTTTGAGCGCATTGCCGGCGAGGCCTCGCGCCTGGCGCACTACAACAAACGCTCCACCATCACCTCGCGGGAGATCCAGACGGCCGTGCGCCTGCTGCTGCCCGGCGAGCTGGCCAAGCACGCCGTGTCCGAGGGCACCAAGGCTGTCACCAAGTACACCAGCTCCAAATAGCTCTGTGGCTGTCCCCTCTGCAGCGGCACCATCGAGTGCAGGGCCCTCCATGCCAGCACAGGCAGGCAGCCATGGTCTGGGTGAATGGTCACAGCTATTGTCCACAGCAATCTGCAACTGGGGATGGGCATGGGAAGCTGCCCAGAGGAGGAGGAGACAGTGATCTGGATATCAGCTGGTTTCCATCATCTGCTCAGGATGTGGGAAGGACCTGCCGAGGCTGGCAGTGGAGGCCCCTGCTTTTACATCTCATTCAAAGAACTGACCAGCCATGGTTTATCCAGTCTCCTCTGTGCTTGGCTAACATTCCTGTTTGGCACTGGGACTGGGGGACTGGCAGCAGCAACACAGAGACACCCTCACTGAAGTCTTCCTGTTTGACCGCTTTCTCACAGTCATCTGATATGGGTACTGAGGAGTCAGCATCCTCTCCCTCAGAGCCCGAATCCCTCCTGGTGCGCAGTGCCTCAGCCCACCCCGTGCTGGCAGAAGTGGCATCAGCAGCTCCCAGGCACATATTGATTCAACAGCTGTCTCTGCTTGACAGCCTGTTTTAAAGAGCAAACCTGGCAGGCAGGCAGATGCCCACGTTGATAGCAAGCACTAATCCTCCTCCTTGCTCCTGACGGATGAGCCATGGAGCAGGATGAGGGTGCTGGAGCTGCCCACTGCCTCCCACCTTGTGCTGAGGTGGAGGGATGGACAAGTGGGATGTTGGGAGTGGGTCTCTGTCTTTCCTGGCTGCTGCTTTGCCTGCCTTAGGACTTGCTTTGGCATGCAAGACATTGCTAATTCTGCTGCTTTTCAGAGACTTTTCCTGCCTTGATGCTGCCTGGGTGTTCCCTTCCACCATAAGTGTGGGCAAGATGGGGTGGTGCCCATGGGGGTCCCCTCTCTTGTGAGCAATAGGATGGTGCAGGACAAACAGCACAGATGTTGTGGGCAGGGACTGAGGATTTGGGAAGCATCTGGTGTGGGAGCACAGGTGGTCAGTGCATTTTGAGGGGTGGGAGGAAGCTGGATCCCCTCAGAGATCACTGCAGGCAGCTCACCTGGCCCTGCCCTCCCTAATTCATTCAGCAGTTAGAAAGCAAAAGCAAAACTGGGGGCTGGGTGGATATATAGGGACACTTACCTGCATCCCAGATATTTAAAAGATTAAATACTTTTAAACTATTTCAGATAGTCCCCTTATCTTTTCAAAGTCCAGAGTAAGGTGAGCAATAATAAAATCATGATAAAGCCATAGAGGTTAAGAGAGGAATGTCTTGGTTACAGGTTTATCTTGCCCAGACTGCTGGATAACAGAAGGGCCTGTGTAGAACTGGTGTGAAGTTGAAGCTTCCTACTCAAACCACAAAATTAGCCAACATTAAAAAAAATCAAAGCCTCTGGTAGGCAGTAACATTCAAACAAAAAATATTCATGTCTAAAATAACAACAGCTTTCTGCACTTACTCTGTAAATAAAAGGAGCAGTAAAGAGATAGGATCCAGAACTAAGTGCAGATTCTCCCTAAGCTTCAGGACCTTGCTTTTAATTAAAAGGTAAGTTCATATCCCAAAATAGCAGCCATGCAGTACATTTCTATCTTTCCCCTGCCTTTATCTCTATCCTATTTCTTTACACTTTGAGAGTGATTGGGACCTTTGGCAAATTTATGTTGCTTTTGGAGCTGTAGGACTCTGCAGCTCCAAAGGATTCTCATTGCAGTCATTTTTCCAGCTGGTCTGAGGCATAGCCCTGCTCAGAAGCCTGGGAGCAGCCTGGGGTCTCTGTGCAAGAGTGAAGGTCAGTTTGTTTGTGGGCTGCTCACACACCCCTGCTCTGGGTGTCAGCACCCCACACTTGGGAGGGGGCCAGGGGCCACATCTCCCAGGATCACCTCCCACGCTCTGCTCAGTGCTACCACACAGCTGTGTCTCATAGCCTGCTGCTGACAGCTCTCAGAAAGAACCAAACCCATCTCCCTGGCTGCCAGCACCCACAAGGAGCAGCTGCCAGCAGCAGCACCTGTATTCAGTGTCAGTGGCATTGGTAACCTGGGCCTCTTGGCCAGGACACTGTGCAGGTGACAGCTCAGTACTCCCTTTTGTTTCCAGTCAGTCAGAATCTGATACCAAAGATGAGCATGTACCTGCAGTGGGCCCGGAGCTATCATCCTTGACACCTCTGCCACAAGAATCCAGGCAGTGGATGATGCACCAGGGGCACTGCTGGGAGTGAAGGGCTGGGTGGCATTGCTGGAGCTTTCTTCTTCTGTCCCTGTGAGCTGCAGGTCAGAATTCATCCCTTTGAGGAGCTCTCTTGAAGGCAGGAATTCAGAGTGGAATGAGCCCTCTCCAGTCTAAGCAGTGTGTTTGAGCCAGGACACATCTCCTAGGATCACCTGGCACAGCCTCTAAACTCTCACTATTTGAGCAGAGTCCCACTTGAGTCTCCACAGGCTGCAAGAAATCAAGAAAATAAAACGAGGGTTTGGCCCTCCAGGGTCTCCTGGGCAGCTCAGGAGCCAGGAATGAGGCTGGGCACTCAGATGAGAGCTGCTCGCTCCATACTCAGAGTACAGGTCCCATTTTCTTCTGCCACTGTTGTCATTCTCCATTTTTGGAGATTGTTTCAGAGAGGAGAACCAGTGATTTAAATATACAAAAATACTTGAAGGCTTAAAGAAAACTTTTATATTGTCTAAAGCCAAATGACTGAGGCTGATCATGTCCATGCATTTATAGTTTAGGTTGTCCTTTTATGCATCATTTGCTCTTCACTGTCCATTTGTAATTTTTTTCACTCACTCCTGACAATGTGAAGCGCAGGATTGAAGAACTGATCCATGTTAAAACAAACCTTTTTTTTTTTTTTTTCCTTTCTTTCAAGCTTTGTTTTAACCCTGTTCTGGTGGCTGCTCTGTTCTGTCATACATTTGTGCCAGCAAAGGGAAGGGATGATCGAGGAAGGGCAAGGCTGGGATAAGCTAGGACTGACACAGAAAGCATTTGGGAAGTCAATGTACAGGACACCATCCACACATCCAAATGGGAATTAGTTTGCATGTGATAACCTTGGGCTGAGCCTTAATATTAGAGGCAACAGAAGGTGGTCTGAAAGTTCAAGGCTTGATTGTCCTGTAAGTAGTCTGAGGTGTGACATACTTCACAGTTTCCTGGTAAGGAGATTTGCTGCAGAAGATGGATTCTGCACTACAGGATCAGTGCTTTTAAAGAATACATATTTCCAGCTCTGGAATTGAGAAAATGTTTTAAAAGTGAAGATAATATACCAAGCCCCACTATCCCTACCTGATCCCCTCTGCAGTCCCAAAAGCATCTCTGGGCCATGCCTGTGTTTTGCCAACTAAAGTAAATCAACTACAGATTGAAAGTTGGAAAGGAAGATGAAAAAGGTAATACAGCTTTGATACTAACCTCATATTAACCCCAAGGATATCACTGTAATTGTTATTTGTTATTTGTTTTCATGTACAATTTAAAAGAGAAAACAAGCTGCTATAGATCTGATTTTCCACCCTGCTTCCCCAGAAGGGCCTAAAGTCCATCAGCCTTTCACAGCAGAGTTCAGCCTGTAGAGGAGCTGAGTGTGGAGGCTTGCTCCTGCTCAGGACTGACAGGTTTTTAGTCAAGCTTGGGGAAAATGAGCAAAAACCAGTGTGGAGGATGAGTGCCTGTCCTGGGCACAGCTGTGTGCCCCACAAGGGCACTGAAGAGTCCTGCCCAGTGGAGCTGTGTGGCCTGTGCACCCTTCACTCTGGTGAGAGGCAGCCCCAAGTCCTGCCACCCGTGGAGCAGAGCTTGGCATGGCCTCTGCATAGCCCTGAGCTTCTGTTCCATCACAGCATGTCCTGAGGGTTTACATCCAGACCAAATTGTTTGCAGGCAAAGGAAGAATGGGAACTGAATAATAAAAATCACTTAGTGACAGAATTTGGAGGGTTTCCTGGGACCACCACCTGGGGAGCAATCTTTCATGCTTACTCCATGCATGGTATCTCTTGGGCTTATGTACACAGAGTTTTTCTGACAGTAAGTGTTACATCAAGTATGATCCATGTTAAATTCCTGCTGGGTTATGACTTTAGTGCTAATTACCTGCTTTCTGTTAAGTGTCTAAATAAAATGTAACTTCCATCCTGTTGGAAGTCAGTGGTACCCAGCTGTTGGGGTGTCTTTGCTTCTGCCTTATCACTGGTGTTCCCCAAGCCCTGCATTTCTCCCTCTCCATGATATTTCCTCCAGGCCTGGGGTGACAGTAGCCACCCTTCCAGCAGAGATGGAGCACAGCTGATCTGACAGAGGGTCAGTCAAAAAGCAGAGCAGCCCCTCACTGAAGGGGTATCACAGGCTGCCACTGGAGTCCTGATGGGCTGTCACTCAACCCAAACATGAGTGCAACATCAACATCTGTTTTTCTCAAGCCCTTCCAATGATCTTGTCCCAGGCAGAGCTGAGCCTGCCATCTGTCCTTGCCACACTCCTGCTTGGGGTGTCTCTGCCTAGCACCCATCATCTACCCCCAAGCAGGAACTGTTTGGACTGAACAATGTGAGATCCTGCAGATGAAGAAGTGTTTCATGCACATTCAGAATTTCTGTTAGCTGAATTAACAATTGCTAGCACTAGAAACATCTTTTCTTGGACTCTGAGAATTTTATAGGCAACAGCCATGGGATAAGATGTAGCATCTGAAAACCCCAGAAAGAAAAAGATCTTCCCTTTAAGGAATGGTTGGTAAATACACTCCAGTGAAACACTTACCTGCTGGACATCAGTATCATAATGCATTCCCTGGAGTGGGAAATGCAGGGGCCATGCTGGACACTGACTGCTGGAGAAACAAGACTTCAGACATGGCATATAACAGCAATCAGAGCTAAAAGTGTTTCTAGTGTCTCTAAATAAATACAAGCTTAACATAATTGGGAAAATCAGCATTTAGAAAAAAATTCCCAGCCTATAACTAACTCATCTGAAATATTTATTTCCAAGGAAATAAATTTTGCTACCTGTACTGATTTCCATTTTCATACTCCTTTCCAGAGACACACCCACAGTGCAATTTCAGAACAGAGCTGACACCAAGGTATCACAAGGTTATAAAAGGTAGAGCATAACACTATGGTCGTGCTTCTCCAGGATGTTGGGAGATAACTTTTTTTAAATTATCCAGTTATTATCTAATAATTACTGACTGGTTATTCAAAGACCATTAGTGGACTCAGGTGCCAGATCAATGTTGGCAGAACCAAGTAGAAGAACTCAGGAACGTCAAAATAAATGATGAGAGGATGAGGTTTGAATTTAGAGGAGCAACCCTTCCTGCAATTAGTCCACCTGTAGAGCCTTTGCCAATGGCTGCTGAAGATGCTAGAACTGGCTCAAGGACAAACTACTGGGAGAAAAAGTCTTTAAGTCTTGCTAAGCACATAAACTGTGCTGAAAACTATTATAGGCTGAGAGAATATAGAAAAGAAGTGACTGGATTACATGAAAGATGTAAGAGATACTTTGTTTCTAAAATAGTTAGGGTTAATAAACACAGATGTTGTGAGAATAAGGAATGGACCTTCTGCTTTCTCATATAATGGAAAGCTGTTCTCAAAAGCATTTCTCATTTTCTCCCTTGAAGCAGCTGATTTAAAAAACAAAGAAGAAATACACCATTTCCTGCCTTTTAGTGACTGTAATGCTAATTCCATCCCCTGGGAAAAAAAAAAAAAAAAAAAAAAAAAAAAAAAAAAAAAAACTCTTACAGAAATTAATTCAGAAGAAAATTCTTACAGATTTAACTGTCTTCTAATAACAGAAGAATATTCCAATAGTAATAGAAATGGGAAGGTAGGTGGGAATGAGAAAGGAATGGCAATGGGTGGGTGGGTGTGAGGCACCAGAAGGGACCAAAGGCAGGAGACTGTAAGCGATTGCTGCAGGATTGACAGATGCTGGTGAGAGCTCTCTGAGGAGCTTACCAAGGTGCCAGCACACACAGTGTGCTGCTGTTTGGATACAGGAAATAAAGGACAGGGAGTGAATCCCTGGTAAATCCCAAGGCTGGAGCAGGATGGACAGTGTAGCTGCTACCAGAAAAGGTACAAAAGGCACATCCAGAGCCAGCACATGTCACCAGTTCAAGAGCAACACAGGAATGTGATGCAGACATGAGGGCATCATCCGTCATGCTCAGAGCAATTGCAAAGTTGGGCACACATGTCCTTTGTTCTGGTCAGAGAGCTTGGATGCATCTCATGAGGGTGCTGCTGCTGAAAAATAGCCTTGTCTGCCAATAAGGACACAAAGTCACCCTCCTGTAGGGATTTGTGTTCAGTTTGCTACACTGTGGCTGCTCATCAATCTTTTGGGTACATCCAGACTTGGGGCAGGAAAACTTTCCCATCGTCTGGGCACCGCTCCCATTTATGGGCCATTAAACCTCCTCCTAATCAGGTGTGGAATGGTGCTGAAAACAACAGTGAAAAGCATTCTTTATACAAAGTACAGCCCTATTTGCCAAGACTCAGGAAAATGTCCAGCACAACTTTTCAAACAAACCAGGAGATGTTTCTGACCTAATCTGCCATATGGACTCAACACATTCTGGTGAATACAATGCCTGCCTCTGAAAACCTCGCTCATGGAGAGAGTTCGCTCATGGGAGAGCTATGATATGAGCTATGAGTGCAGCTGATCCAAGCACCCAGTGTCCAAACTTTGCCTGACACTGCCTGGGAGTAAAAAACAAAAACGGAGGGAACTTCAGTACAGCACACTGAATTTCACTAAAGTGATGGAAATGTGAGGGTATTGAAACTTTGGGTTTTTTGGTAGTCTTTTGGTTTGTTTGGAGTGTCATAGTATTCAAGGGGTTCAAGGAACCCTGGTCTTGCAGGCACAGCTGGAAACAGGCTATTGAAGTGCTCCATCCCAATAAAACCTGCCCTTGCACAAATCTTTATGAGGCATGACTAAGTTATAGCAAAGTGGGAGGCCTGCAACAGTGAGGGCTGCCTGAGCATGTTGAGAGGAAGATGGTTGCTTTGTTGGGAGGTTGCTTTCTTGGGATGAACATGTATCTCACAACTCATTTCTCCCATCATCAAGGTAATAAAAAGTCACATCTGAGTACTGACTTCAGAGATGCAGGATCCTCCCATCTCTTCCACAAACACCCTGCAAATGCTGCATCCACTGTAATCACACCAAATCCACGCTGCTCGCATGCTGACTTGCACTCTGGCCCTGAGTTAAAGCCAAGCAACTGCAGCTTGAAGTGGAAAATCCACAGTGGAGTGTGGTGGTGTTCACAGGGGTCCCAGGATGAGGGAAGAGATGAGAATCTTGACTCCATGTTTCAGAAGGCTGATTTATTATTATATTAAAAGAAAATTATATATTAAAACTTACTAAATGAATGGAAGAAAGGATTTCATCAGAAGGCAGGAAAAGGAAAAGGAAAAGGAAAAGGAAAAGGAAAAGGAAAAGGAAAAGGAAAAGGAAAAGGAAAAGGAAAAGGAAAAGGAAAAGGAAAAAGGAAAAGGAAAAGGAAAAGGGATGATAACTAAAGCTCGTGACTCTCAGAGAGCCCTACCCAGCTGACTGTGGTTGGCCATTAATTAGAAACAACCAACATGGACCAATCGAAGATGCACCTGTTGCATTCCACAGCAGCAGATAATTATTGTTTTTCTTTTCCTCTGAGGCTTCTCAGCTTCTCAGGAGAAAAATCCTGGCAAAGGGACTTTTCAGAAAATATCATGGAGACAGTAGAGCAGAAGAATGGGATCAGAATTCATCCCCCAGTGCCTCTTGCAGCTCGTTTTGTAGTGAAAGGCCCGAGACACCTCACGCTGCAGCTGACCTTGGCTAACAAAGGCTGTCCCAGTGGGGTGTGCCAGCAGTCACTGGGCACTGGGCAGGAGCCAGCCCGAGCCCCTTTGGCACGGATGGTTCAGCACAAAGGAGCCTTTCCAGCCCTGCAGCAGCACCACGTGCCTCTGCCCATCACATCTCTCCCCAGGCTTTAAATACAAGGGACAAAAGTTTTTGCAAACCCCTGATTCTGTCCATTCCCTGAACACACGCCTGAAATGCTCTTGTGGCATTTAAGCATCTTCAGATGGAAAAGAGAGAGCTCAGGATTGCCTGCCCCATCTCTCTCGGAGGCAGTTTGCCCGATGGATCCTCCTTCTGTGAAAAACACCAATCACTTGTTTTTATCATTTTAAAAGTTTAATAGTAATAAAATGGTTATAAAAATAGTAATGCAATTAGAGTAATAACAATTTGGACAATTTGAATTAGGACAATATGAGACAATAGAGACAAAGAGTTATGGATATCCGGGTACCTTTTTCTGGGCAGCAAGAGCCTGGAAAAGGACACACATTAACAGAGGATTAACCCTTAAAAAACAACAGCCTGTTGCATATTCATACACCTCATACATGATGCATAAATTCCATTCAAACACAGGATTCTTCTCATCATTGTTCATTTCTTCTGATAAGAGAGCAATAAATTCTCTTTCTCTGAAAGATTCAGGTGTCCTGTGGCTGCCATCTTGCTGCGAGTCCTTTCTTTAAAAAAAGTATCCTGCATAGCATAGTTTCTATTTTAACATTTTTTATAACCTAAAACTATATTTAACACAGTACTTAAGAGAATTAATACAGCATTACTTTCTAACACAATACATATAATATTCATTTTAATATTTGCGAAAAGCCAATCATAAAATACACATTTTTCACACTGTCATACCTGGGAGCTGCAGGGCAGGACACTGAGCCCCCTGAGCTGCACAGAGCTGGGGCCAGCAGCTGCAAGCCATGCAGAGCCATGCATGCAGAGCCATGCAGAGCCATGCAGAGCCATGCAGAGCCATGCAGAGCCATGCAGCCTGAGCAGGGGCCTCCCTGCCCAAGGGAGGGCAGCCCAGCAACCAAAAGCTCTGTAAGGTTTTAAAGGGATTAGACGTGCATAGATGGCAAGAGGGATTTTCATAACAAAGGACTAAATAGATGCGAGTTTGCAAGCAGCAGTAGCTCTCTCCTTTATGGGAAAGTTACACTAAACACAAAGAAACCGCAGGAAGAAATCTTATCCATCCTGCAGCTGCTGCTGTGGGACTTGCAGCATCCTCAGAAACAGCCCAGAC